TCTCTCTCTCTCTCTCTCTCTCTCTCTCTCTCTCCTCTCTCTCTCTCTCTCTCTCTCTCTCTCTCTCTCTCTCTCTCTCTCTCTCTCTCTCTCTCTCTCCTCTCTCTCTCTCTCTCTCTCTCTCTCTCTCTCTCTCCTCTCTCTCTCTCTCCTCTCTCTCTCTCTCTCTCTCTCTCTCTCTCTCTCTCTCTCTCTCTCTCCTCTCTCTCTCTCTCTCCTCTCTCTCTCTCTCTCTCTCTCTCTCTCTCTCTCTCTCTCTCTCTCTCTCTCTCTCTCTCTCTCTCTCTCTCTCTCTCTCTCTCTCTCTCTCTCTCTCTCTCTCTCTCTCTCTCTCTCTCTCTCTCTCTCTCTCCTATCTCTCTCTCTCCTCTCCTCTTCTCTCTCCTATCCCCTTTTCTCCTCTCTTCTTCTCTCTCACTCTCTCACTCTCATTCTCTTTCTCTCTCTCTCTCTCTCTCCCTCCCTACTTTTTCTTCTTTTCCCTCTCCCACTGTCTCTTTTTTATCAGTTATTTCTCCTTCATTTTCCCTCTCTTTCCTCTCACTAATGTCTCTTTCACTCTTTCGCTCCCTACCTACCTCTTTGTCTCTGTGCCTGTCTTTCTCTGAGCCTATCAATCTTTCTCACTCTCCCCTTACCGTATCTCTTCCCGGAGGGTGTACAAAATGTCCTTCACTAATTAAAGTCCCCGTCCAGCTGAAAGTCCTCTTCCTCTTGCATTTCTTATTCCTTTCCATCTCTCTTCTCATCCCTTTCACCTATTACTTCATTCTGTTTCATTTTCTCTCTTGTCCTCACACGTCTGTCAACTCCGACACCTTAGCCGATAGAGATAGACAGGTTAACGAGTTAACATTTTGCACTGGCTGTAGACAACCTGTAGTTAGCAAGAATTGAACACCGAACACCCTTCCCCTTCCCTCACCCCCCTTAAGCCGTTATACAAACGTGGTACCCATACCATTAGCATATTATCTTAGTACATACCTCACAAAGTACACTCAACCCTTTCCGGCATTGCTATGTAGTTTTAAGTGTCACTTTAGTGTAATGCACAGTCATGCAGAATTAACAATTACTTGAGGTCCCTTTTGCGTGAAGTATTTTTTGGAAGTACGTAATTCTAACATCTTGCATCACCTAGCATGAGGTGTGAGAATATACTTGGCCTTTGATTTAACATTTAGCACTCACGCAGTATGCTCGAAGACAGATTGCTTCTCCTTATTTAATCTTGACTCACCAAGAGCACACCTCCCTCTTTCTCTCTTTCTGTCGAGCACGTGCTGTCGTCCGCGCTGTTTGCACGAGTCATTCCATGGCTTGATCTCGTGTAAACAGCTGATTCCTCCATCTGACACCGACAGCCACGACCGCGGATTCTCCTTTGGTCATCGAATGCTTTCCATCTCAGTCGAAGATCTAAAGGGAACGAATCTTTTCGAGAGATGAGAAGTTGATTCGGAATGGAGAGGAGGCGCGTGTTGATGCGTCTGGCGCACTCTGGCTGCCATTGGCTTTCCCACAAGGCCGTGTGTGTGCTTGTGGCTCGTGCACATCGCCTTGCAGGATACGAGCCAATCAGCGCCGGGGTCTACCGTCGCCAGCCGTCTTCATCAGCGCCGACATCATAACCTCCATTCGGGTCAAGATTTCATTTCACGATAACGCTCGTCGTGTGTTGGTCGCGCGTCAGATGGAGACAGCGGGCAGAGCACTTCGCTGCTGTGCCGCTGCTGTTCCTGCTGATGATGTTACTGCTGCTGCTGTCACTGCTGCTGCTAGGGACATGACTTGACACATATATCCCCCTCAAGACGCCAGGATATATGGGAGGCCGTATGCTTTGGTTTTACAGCATTCCCCTGGTCTCCCTCGCCAGGTGGAGGAGTTACGGCAGCGTCTCGAGGAGAAGAACAAGACGATAGAGAAGAAGACACAGCAGGCTCTCCAGGCCACACAGGAGAGGAACAGACTCACCTCAGAGCTCACAGAACTCCGCGACCACATGGACATCAAGGACAGGAAAATCAATGTCCTGCAGAGAAAGGTAAGTTATTACACTGTGCCGGGCCCGGCTGTTGAAGACCGACGGACGGGTAGTGGGAAACGAGACGGGAGAAATAGGGAAGGAGGAAATGAGGGAGGGAAGGGAGGGAGATGGAATGGATAGCAAACGGTGGGAGAAGGGGAACAGAAGGGAAATAAAGGTAGACGGGAGGAAGAGGGGAAAGGGCAGAGGGAAAACGGGGATAAAAGGACGAGACGATAGTCGACAGCATCAAAGACTGGGATAATGAGATGTAGATAATGAGACACAAGAGACGATCCCTGAGACAACATGACGGAGATCATTATATCGCGACAAAGAGACAAGGGGACCGACAGCACGTAAAGTAGAAACAAGGAAGAATAAAAACAACAATACAATTAGATAACGGAATAAGAGGCAGACAGTAGGAACAGAAAGAAAAAGGAAAGATGCAACTTGTCTTAAGAT